CAAATGTAGTCTTATGGTAGCTTTGGAGGAGAGGCTGTCTGAACTGTGCTGTTCTGTCCCACGCTGAAGAAAAACCAGTAGCTAGCCAGGTCCTCTTAGACAGGGAACAGAACCACAGAGACTAGCTCCTGTTACCGGTCCTCCAGCAAACCCCGAGCAGCCAGGACCCCAGGCCAGCTGGGTGATGGCAGAGCCCTGTAAAGAGAGAGTTGCGACACTCTTTGAACTCGCCGATACGCGGTCACGTGGTTCATGCAGCTCCCAATAGTTCCAAACAGTTCATCGCTGTCAGTCAGTTTGAGCGGCTGCTGGCACAACATAACACAAAAATCGACTTTTCTTACTTTACCTGACGTCTTTCAGTAATTGCTGAGCAGTAACGAACTGATTACTTAACCGATTATTGATTATTTCACATTTTATCAAAGCATTTTTAGAAGCGGCTGATACATTTATCATTAAATTTTAGAAGGAAACGAGACTGCAAACACATATTTGTTAGAAAAAATAATGTATATGCAATACAATGGTCAATATAGCCATATCAGTGTTTTATAACGTTACACACGTTAAAAAAAGATCAGAGTAACATCTGTTATAAAACTATTTCTGATGTTCTCTGCATGAGAATGCTCCACCTTGTCCTCCATGTAGCAGTTCAGATCTGCTCCAGCTTACCTCAGATCATCTGGATGAATTCTTGATTTCTTTAGAAGATGTTAATTCAACCTTTATTTAAACAGGTTCATCCCATTGAGCCACGAGGACTCATTTACAAGAGAGACCTGAATATAATTGTTGCATTTGTCGTTTTTTTTATGTCAACCAAGTACCTGATAACTGAGTTGATTGTAGCCTGACAACTATTGTAAAATTGTAATTCATTGATTAAAATGTTAATTTAAATGAAACTGTTTCTAGTTAAAATCATAACAGATGTCAAAATAAGTGTTAACTGTGCAAAAATAAATTTCCAAACAATTATAAAATATGTAAAATGTAAAGCAAGCTTTAATAAAGTACTTTTACTGCCATTTATACTGTTTATTAATAACATCATCTCAAGTCAGCAGGAGCACCATCATCATCATCACAACGACACAAAGTGAGAGCTGTAAATTTAATCTGCACAAACATTTTCAATCAGGGCTCAAAATGTTTAACTGTCAAAGAAATGTGCAAGAAAATAAACTAATGTCACTCTACAGGCACATTTAGAGAGAGGACAGTTCACAGAGACACAGTGAGGACGTGTGAGACAGAGACACAGTCAGGACATGTGAGACTGAAGGAGGTTCAACCATTTGTTCATGGACCAGAACCAGATGAGAAGAACAGCAGAACTTCCACTGACCAGTGACCTGACCAGTGACCTGACCAGTGATCTGACCAGTGATCTGACCAGTGACCTGACCAGTGATCACACATGTTGTTCTAAATTAAACTTTGGTACGAACAGTGTTAAATAAGACATGTCATATTTTTTATTGAACAATAATCTTCATTCTAACGGTGACGTTGTAATTTCAGAGACTGAGGAAGAAACAGAAATGAGGCGAGTGAGATGAGGGAAAGATGAAAATGTGTCCTCAGAGGACGGGGACAAGTCAGGATCTGATGATCCAGGATCAACAGGACCAGGAGGATGGATCAACAGGCAGTCAGGGAACAGAGATGAACAACCTGAAGAACAATTAGAACAAAAAAACATACATAAGCAGGACAGAAGAAACTCACAGACAAGAAAATTAACTCAGTCCTGAAAAGAAAAATGTTAATGGAAAATAAATTGACATATTTTTACAAAAGATCAGATGAAGACAACTGGCATGAAGAATAACTTCCAGCTCCATCTCAATGTACCTGTGATAGTTTAATAAGTGTTTTGTTACTGTCCTACAGTTTATTGATTCTGATATATTCTTGTAATAATTCTTATTTCTTGTTCTGTCTTGAAAGAGTCTCATCTCAACTTGACCCATGATTACCAAACACTAAACTAACAATATAAAACTAATGTAAATGAACAGTCCTGCAGTAAATACCAACTTTGTGAAGGTTATGGTGTTAAAGTAATTTTATTCAAACATCTTGATTCAGCTGTTATTGATTAATGGAAGACAGAAAATGAGATCTTGTACCTTTGTGATACTTTGAATGCAACATTCAGTTCATGAAGTCATTCTCCTCTGGTTTATCTGGAAAACATGACAAAAACTGACTCATCTCCACAATCACATTTTTCTTTAATGATAATGTCACAATTTATGCTGCAGTCTTTGACAAATGATCTATAACTTTAACTAAATGACGTCAGTCTTGTTGTCATGTTGTCATCATTCTTTGTTAAATCAGGTCTCTCTTGTAAATGAGTCCTTGAGGCTCAATGGGATTTACCTGTAGAAATAAAGGTTGAATGAATCTCAGGAAAAAAAGCCAAATATTTCCTAGTTGAGTTCAGTAACTGGAATTACCATAAATTTAAAAAAGACCACCTTTCAAAATGTAAGCAGTAATAGATACTTTAAAAAGTTGAATTAGAAATAGACCCGTTTAAACTGTCATGTTGCAGAGCAGCACACAACTAGTAATTTAACATGTTTCATTAACTAAAACTGGCGACATGAAGTATTAATGTTGATAATTTGTGGTACAGAACAGTCAGATAACGCTTCACAATGGAGAAAAAGTGTCGTATTTGCATTAACTTACCGGAAAAACACGGAAAATGAACTACGTTCAATGCTGAACCCGCTGCTGTTTGGAACTCTTTGCCGCTTCATGACCCACGTGACTTCCGCATTCCATTCTTTCTGTGGGAGTCTATGGGAGTGTCGCAACTCTCTCTTTACAGGGCTCTGGTTCAAACGATAATCAATAGGATCTCTTCAGTGTACTGTACCTTTAAAGAATCCCGCGCGCTTTTGTGTGTTGGCGCATGCGTACTTCAGGCTGAATTAAATCGACAGAGCGCGAACTGCGTGTGTGCTGCTTGGAGTTTCTGCACGTGTGTGTCTGTAACTCAAGGTTTGTACAGTTTAACTCTTTAATATTATTAAAGTATTTAATAGTGTGACCAACAGTAAGTTTGTCTTTTAGGTTTGTCTTGCTCGTTGCGTGGCTAAACAAAGCAGACGGTTCGTCCTTTCTCCGGCCACTCGTCAACATGGAGGAGGCCAACAAGCTAGTCGGCGCCGGGAGGAAGCTCCTTGTTCTGGGGAAGGCGGTGGAGGCGGTGAGCGCCCTGCAGGAGGCCTGCGACTTGCTGTAAGTTCTCTCAGAACCGGCTTCATGCGCGCCGAAGTAAAGATAACCCAAGGAGGGAGACATTTTGCACATGTTTTTTTTTTTTTTTTTTGGCCTTTTAGATTTTTAAAGAAATGGCTTCCCTGAAGGTGTAAAATAATCAGCTGTTAAATCGACACAGGTGTGCAGAGTGAGTCCAAGTGAAACAGCAAGACCAGATGAATCATTTTCTTTAGTTTTAGATTGCAGGCTGCAGCCAAAACATTAAATCTGTTTCCTGTTTTATTTGTCTCAGCCAATGGAAACCAGAAAACACTGAGCAGAAACTATTGTAGGTAAAATCACGGAGACTTCAGCTGTTATTGCCTTAAGGTGGTCTTTGAGATTCTTTTGATTAGAAGCCAAAGAACTCCTCCTGCTGAATGCCTGTTCATTATTAGTGCTGTGATTCATTGCTTTTGTTATAAGAGAGCTGGTTCTCTGGCCTTTGAACTTCACTTGATACAACTTGTGGGAAAATGCTGGTGTCCATTCTGGGTCATCCCGGACCTGGTGAGTTAAAACACCAAAGCAGTGGAGTACTTTCATCTTCCCATCAAATTCTCCACGATTGGCAGAACATTGTATTTCTGTCTTTAACAAGCCCAACCTGCTTCACATCCTTTCCAGCCTGATCGTCTTACAGATGATAAAGTCCTTCTCTCCCTCCTTAGTGTCGAGCCTCTTGTACAATTCATCATACCATTCTCTCTGTATACTTTGTATCTCCTCACGTCAGGCTGCCTTCAGGCCCAGGCCTCCCTTGTAAAATAGATCTGTGATCTCTATGGGATTTGCCTAGTTAAATAAAGGCTAACAAATAAAAAATATTCTGTCCATTCTCTTCAGTAATAACCAATGACCATAAAAGAAACTGACGTTTGACAGGAAGTTGAAGCTGGAACAGAACCAGCTTCCCTGTCAGCTGCTCTCGGTACAGTGTTTTAATTCATACACTTTCTACATAAACAAACCAGATTTTGCCCGTTTCATAAAAAAACGAAACAAAATCACTTTAGATAATTTTTCTTTCAGGTGTTTATTCTTGTTTGGAGCAGTACCGTGTTTTCCGGCGTACTTGTCGCTCCGCCCTATAAGTCTCATCAGGCCATATTTTAAATTTAAAATGGAAAAATCCATAAATATGTTGCTTCACCGTATACGTCACATCTATTATGCATCACCGCTGACGCGTCGTGTTTGTTACGCGCCACTGCTGACAACCCAGAAATGTGGGTCGGTGTTGTACCAACAATCGATGGGCTGCCAAATGGCGGCCGCTGGAGTGTGCACGGGAGGACTTGAACAAGAATTTAACAAGATTAACACTTAAAAACAATTATTTGCTTGAAATTATAGTAAATGTGTGTCTCAGTCTAATGTTTGCTTAATAAATCCACTTTAATGGTCAAATTAGCTGCATTTCGCCGGGGCGGTGCAGCTGTTTTGACGGTTCCAAGCAGCAAGCAGAACCAAGGTGGAGAGAGTATGGCAGGCTGATTGTGTCATTAATATCTGAAGCTTCTCAGTCATCCAGGACATGATAAATTCAAGCGTTCAAGAAAAAAAAAAGTATAATAAATAACGTCCAGTTTTTGTTTTGAACTTTTTTGAATTTGTAATTATAGCCACGTTTACTCATTACATGATACATGCATGTATCATGCATACATATACATGTATCATGCAATACATGCATGTCGTACTTCTATTGCTACTCTGTTGCCATCAAGTGGCTGAAAGTGGTACTGCTCTTTTTTTTTTAAATCAGAATGAATGAAAGCGGTCATATCTCAGCCAAAAAATTGGTTTATAAATATGGGAATAAATCCATAAATATGTCGCTTCAGCCTATAAGTCACAGGACGTAAATTATGCAAAAACCTGCGACTTATAGGCCGAAAAGTACTGTACTTGCCTAGCTGCTCTGTTTTTACTCTGGTTCCAAAAATACAACATAGCAGCTTCATTTAATGGCTTCAGTTTCCAACAAGGGAGAAATGTCTAAAATGTTACGGTTGGCGTGGATTATTTATTTCTTTTAGTAACTTTTAATATTTTGTTTGTGCAACTTGTTCAGTTTCCCCTCTCGACTATGTAAACTGGTGTTTTAAGAGGTAACCAAGCAGCTCAACCCCTTCTTTCTTTGTTTCCTATACCTTCACTACGAACAACACCTGGTTTGTTGACGTCATGTGAAAGTTGAGGTGGTGCCAGTTTAACGCAAAGCTTTTGTCTCCCCTCTTTCACTTCAGAGCCAAAAAGTATGGCGACACTGCAGACGAGTGTGGAGAGGCTTTCTTCTGGTGTGGAAAAGCTCTGCTGGATTTAGCTCGGTATGGTCAGGAACTTTGTTTCAGCCTGACATGTGATTGAGACTCATTAAAACAAAACCCGTGAAGTAGTTGAACCTTACATCACAAACTGTCCTTTTTTAGAATGGAGAACTCTGTTCTAGGCAATGCTTTGGAAGGAGTGCCTGAGGAAGATGAGGAGAAACCCAAAGATTCCAACGTTGAGAGCACTGAAGGTGTTAGTGGTGAGAAAACGTCATCTTTTAGCAAACGAACAGTATTCATGGGTCTGCTCGGGCTTCATTTGGAAATCTCACCTCCACATTTTCTAGAGAAGACCAGAGATGAGCTGAGGGTTCAGGTGTACGACGCAATGGCAGAGAAGGAAAATGAACAGAACGTTGACGAGAAGCAGAGCGAGAGTGCTGAGGAAGAGACAACTAAAACCTCGCAGGCTGCAGATGAACAAAAACCAGAAGAGATGGATGAAGAAAAGCACAAGGATGGTGAGAAGACCATGGAAACTGAAGAGAAGGAACGCACGGCTGTTTCTGAAGAGGAAACACCCAAAGAGGATGAACATGCAAACGAAGAGAAAGCAGGAGGTAATTTAGGTTACAGATTTTTGCTCAAGATTATTCTCAGAATATTTCAGTCGTTTTAACTTGGATTTTACTTTTTAGACGACGAAGAGGAGGAAGAAGGTGCGGATGCAGAAATGGAGGACAATGTAGAAGATCAGGGTGAAGGAGATGCCACCGGTGAAAAGGTACCGGTACTTATTTCATCTCAACATCTTAAGTGTGGGTGTGGACCAATGTTGCCTCTAATTTTTCATGTGTCTGGGCAAACACAAGCTCCCTGAGTGCACTGAGGACCACCGAGAGCAACATCAGATGTGCACGCTGTGGTCACACACACCAGTGTCACACCTGTTCAAACTGGGATCATAGAAGTTACATGGCTTATTAAAAGAATCAAATTACAGCAGCAATTTTCATTAGTTTTACTTTGTCTTCACTTCAAATGAAAAAGACAATAATCTTGTTCATGAGATGAGTAATATGTTAAATATGAGGGTCCTGCTCTGGAAGATGTTTAGCAATATGGTGGTCATTAGTGTCAGAAATATATTTGTAAAGTCCCCCAGAAAATTATGAATGAAGTAGATACCATTTCCTGCATTTTGGTGTATTTTAACGGGTTGTTTAACATTTAGTTTTACCTACACAAGTAACACTTGATTCAGTAACTATTTTAGAGTTAATGGCACAACAAGAAGCAGCCTGACCAACAGCTCTCCTTGTGTGAATAGAGCACGCTCTGCTTCTCACACATCCTAGTCACAGTCTAAGAAACCTACCGTAGTGTAGCCTAAGTTAAGTTTTAGGGGAAAAATAAAAATCACTGGCCATTATGAAACGATAATAATAATCACTCCTTACCAATGGTCTAGAATAAAGCTATATGATCATCATCCATCGTGTTTATTAGTAGCTTAAAATACTTAATTAAAGCTCCAGTAGTGGGCTAGGTCTACTGTAACGTTACCCAGTTGTAGGGTCAAGAGACAAACGTGTAGCATTAACACAGTATGAACAACATTCTGCGTCCTCATGTGAGGACGTTATATTTTTGCCTCTCTGCACCATGAGACTTCTTCTTTTTTCAACTTTCACTATTTTTCCTCATTAGACACTACCAGCACTATCTAGTGGTCACATGACAACATTACAGTAATTTAAGTGGACACTAGATGGCAGCAATTCCAGCAACAAGCTTCTACAGCAGCTCTTGTCAGAAAAAAGGGAAAGGTACAAATCCAAATATTTCATGCTTAGTTGAAACTAGTGTATCAGCTGCATTTCACCGCACCGCCTGGGTGAAATGCAGCTGATTTGACGTTTGCGCCAGGAGTTCCGGAGCGAGATGATGGTGGCTTGGTATGGCAAGCCAAGTGTCTCATTGGTAGCGGTGAATGAGACACTTGGCTTGCCATATTAGTCGAGGGCCCTCTATAATAATAATAATAATAATAATACTTTATTTATAAAGCCCTTTAAAACAACCACAGCTGCCACAAAGTGCTGTACATATAAAATCAAGAACATTTAAACACATAAAAACAGTTGTTTAAAACATTAAGATCAATAAAAGTAATAAAAACAGTACAGATCAAATACAGTGTGTGCTAAAAGCCAGGGAGTAAAAATGTGTTTTTAAAAGAGTTTTAAAACTGGACAGTGAAGGGGCTTGTCTGATGGGAAGAGGGAGATCGTTCCACAGTCTTGGAGCAGCAACAGAAAAAGCTCTGTCCCCTCTGAGCCTCCGCTGAGCCTCTAGTGGTTGAAAATGGTAGTGTTCAATATTTTCCATGTCAGAATGAATGAAATCGTCAGATCTCGGCCAAAAATTGGGTTACAAATACGAGAAAAATGTATATTAGTCGTTTCGGTGTATAAGTTGCAGAGCATGCTAATTTATTCAAAAAAAGGTGCGACTTATCTAGTGAAAAGTACAGTAGAACAGGATGTTATGAGAGGCTGTACACGAGTGCTTGAAAAGCTTCTTTTTTTTCTTTAACATTGTTTAATGTCTATTTTTTGTGGGTCCAGTAGTTTGTCTTGTAACATGAGTCTCGTTGCACCCCTGCTAAACATGCCAGGTTTTAAATACAGTTTTATTCCTCCTAACAGGACAGCGGGGATGAGGAGGTGGGAAACCTGCAGCTGGCCTGGGAGATGTTAGAAGTTGCTAAAGGGATCTACGAAAGGTAAGACTGAATTGACTGAAGGCTTCAACAAGATGAGACATCGTTGACGTGGTTTGAGACAGAACCAACTGTTCAGACTCGATCACCTGCAGGGGATAAATCCTGAGAAGTCTTTAAACGCAGCACACGTCATGCACCCCATCAGAACCAGCACAGAGTGGATCTTTATTTTCAGTTCATGTTGGAGGAGGAGGATGTGGAGTTTCTGTTGGAGAAGCACTGTTTTGTGAGTTTGTCACAAAGTTGCAGTTTCCAGCAGACGGTGGGGGAATGTTCCTGTACGTTGCCCAGTCAAGAAGCGCTCCCTCCCAGTTAACACGTCTGTGGAGAGATTCAGGTTCTCTGCCGTCTCCTGCGTGCAGAAAAGATCGTCCCATCTCGTTCCACGAGTTCTTTACCATCTGTCGGTTTGATCGTTTTATATTGGGACAGTTTCATGTTGGCTGTATTTTCTCAGCCAAGTGCTGCTCTGAGATCAGCGTCTGCAGCAAATTTACATAAAACGAACACACCCACAAAGTTCTGACGGGTCACACAGTGTTCGCTGCAGACCCTGTTAAAAAGCTAGTTCTGAGGGGTGTCGGCGGGTGGTGAGAGAGGCAGTCTACGTGATTTTCATCACACACCCACGTCAGGACAAAGACTGGCCTTTGTCATTTATAGATCCAGCTTGAGGTCTGACTCGTATTCAACAAACCGAGGTCTGTCGTGTTCTCTCCAGGAGTGACGCCAAGGAGGATCAGCTGATGGTGGCTCAGACCCACCTGAGTCTGGGTGAAGTTTCTGCTGAGTCAGGTACCAGCATGATGATGACACAACTCCAGTTCTGCATGTGACATCACTATTGTTTTAAACATCTGGTGTTGCTGTGGAACATGTTGGTGTTAAACTGATCCTGAGCCAGTTTTTCCACTTGGAATTGAACAGTTTCTTGTCTGCTTTAAGGGAACTATACGCAGGCTCTTGAAGATTTCCAGGGATGCCTGAAGCTGCAGCTGAAGCACCTGGAGTCTGACAGCCGCCTGCTGGCTGAGACCCACTACCAGCTGGGTGTGACCTACAGCCTGAACTGTCAGCACCGCGAGGCCACCGAGGCTCTCAACAACTCCATCTCTGTCATAAAGAGCCGGCTGGGTGAGAGCAGTCACTTTGCTGCTGGAAGCTGTCCGAGCTGCGGTGCCAACGGCTTCCACTCCTGCTCTTTCAGAAAAACTGCACGGGTTGCTCGACAAAGCTGGAGGTCCAGAAGCTCTGCCGGATGAGAGAAAGGAGCTGGAGGAGCTGGAGGCTCTGCTGCCAGAGATCCAGGAGAAGGTGGAGGACGCCACGGAAGTCTTGAAGACGACGAGCGTTGCTGCTGAGGCTGAGAAGGATGATCCGGTGAGTTTAGAGCGAGCACGTTGTGCGTCCATGATGGACAAAGTCTCTCTGGATTTGGACTTTCTAAAAAAGCTGTTTTGAACACTGGAGATGTTCCACACGGCTGAACCACATCCTCTGATTTAGAACAAACAATCCCATTCGTGTAATCTACTAAAAGGTGTTGGTGTGTAGGCTCAGGCCAGATCCAGCTCTTCTCATTTTAGCTGGACTGTAAAATATTTTATGTACAGTAGTCCCTCGTTTATCGGGGTGGGGGGGGGGGGTACTTTCCAGATCCCACCACCCCAGAATAAATGAAAAACTGTGAAGCAGGAATGCTATATTTCTTTCAGTATTTTTATTTATTTATTATCACTTAAGTTAAATTGACAGATGTCTGAGTTGAAACAACAAACCAAAACAGTTCAATCAACTAAACTAAAGCACAAGTTTACTTGGCAAGAGTTAACCAAGATAACGTGATGAGGTTTATTCCCTCAACGTAAATTATAAGTTGAGAGCAGTGAGGCCTTTTTACTCACCAGCTCTGCAGAACACGGCAGCGCTCGGTTCTGGTTCTGCAGACCTACCCTGCTGCAACGAAGCCCACAGTGTTCTAAACTCTTAAACCTATGGAATTTTAACAACTTGTGTATATGTACTGCAAAATTTTATGAGTACTCACCAGCCTTGGTCCGGTTCTGGTCCAGTTCTGGTCAGCTCTCTGCAACCGTTGAGCACCAGACGCATTTAGAGCGAGCCGGACCTTCAGAGAGCCAGCACAAAACCACACGATGGTCCCGATCGAGTCCAAATCTGGATGAAAAAAGTCCTGGTGAGCTCCGGAGAAAACACCGGACCTCCAAGCGGCGCCTCCCCGCTCGAAAGGCCTCATGGGGCGACGAGCAGCGCTCAGATTGACCGTTGATGCTGGAAGTCCAGTTCTGGTCCAATTCCCAGTCTGTTCCGTACGGCTCTCTGCATCCACTGAGCACCGAAGTCTCTATGAATAAGGACTGAACTTTTTCAGATCGGACCAAAACTTTCCCTCCATTTCAGAAGAAAGCAACTTTGGCTTCTGGGTAATGTAGTCCATTTGACTGGTGATACAGTGTAGGCTTATTGAAAGAAAACTACAAAATGGCGGCACCTGTCCAAAGTTTTGTCCCCCCCCCCCCGGTTAACTTTTTACTGTATCTCGTACTGTCTCAACCACGTGTGTAATATTAAAGTTGACAGTCGTGTATGTATTTTTTGTTGTGTACAATCTTACTTTGAAAAACTGCAAAAGAGCGAGTCTGCAAAAGTCGAACTGCGAAGTAGCGAGGCACTACTGTGTTCAAACTGGTCTGCCAGTCCGTGGCACGTTGCATTAATAAATGCTCAGTTTTTAAGCAAACTGCAAAGCAACACACTCACACCCTGAACAGCAGCTGCAGTCTTGAAGCGGATTAAACACAGAGTGTCCGCGGGGTCTTGAAAGTTATTAAAAGTTGATAAATCAAATTTGGGAAAATTAAGGGTCTTGAAAAGTATTAAAAAGTCTTGAAAGCGATTTGATGAGGTATTATTTTTTTTGCTGTTATTCTAGCTTTAAATAATTTGACAGCAAAAAGTATGTATGACTAATATTTGTTTTCCTCACCGCGGAGGATTCGGAAACTGCTTCGCACAAATTTAGAGTGTCAGGTTACAACAGCCTTAACGGCTAGGCCTATCTTGTGCGCATGCGCGGCTGCTTTGAGTCTGTGTGTTCGAGTAAGTTGCCGCGAGACCGTGAGAACAATGGGTAAATGCAAGTTTTCGGACTCCTGGTTGGAGATGCCTGATTTTCAAGAATGGCTGAGGCCTGTCGCCGAGAATAACCGCGAGGCTTATTGTACATTTTGTAAAAAAAAGATGAGCGTAGCCTCGATGGGCATAAACGCCTTGAAGTCCCATATGACTGGAGCTAGCCACAAAAGTGCAGCTAGCCGCAAAACGCAGATGTCTATCAGCAGTTTCTGTGCTCCACCAGCGACAGCGCTTCCAGCTAACCGTGTGCCTGAACCAACCAAGGTTGAGGTTGATCTGCGACAAGGTCAGTGTCTGTGGGGGTGTTCTGCAGGTACCTCTGACCAAGGAGCTGCTGGCTTCTGTTGCCTCTGCAAGGTCGAAGTACAGGATTTACCTGGAACAGCAACGAAAGAAGAAAGAAACTTCCACACAGAGCCTTAAGAGGAAAGCAGCTGGAGCTGAGTTAGAAGAGCTGAAAAAAAAGAGAAAACTTCTACAAGAGGTGTGCGATTCTCTGCAAAAAGATGCAGATCAGTTGGCAGAGCAGGCAGAGGGAAAGTCAGGTTCTTTAATGGCCCAACTGATCACCAAGTCCAATGTCTTGAGAAGGAGACGTAAAGAAAAACTCAGTGAGCTGGTGCAAACTGAAGAGTTGCTGGAATGCAAAGCAACTGCACTGAGGCACATGTAATGATTACTGTGTTTATTTCTTATTCGCCATTGTTCAACCAAGTTACTTTAAAATAACTACGAGTCTTGTTGTAACCTAAGCTATATTTTCTTAAACCTAGTCGTGGTTCAGTTTCTTCTTTTGAATTTTTTTCTATCCACTGTATCTCAGTTCTGTTGTAGGTTTGAGATTCACGGATTTAATTGAAAACAACAGCAGTTTTGTAAATCAAAGATTTGTTGCTTAATAAAACAAAGTGACGATAAGGTCTTGAATTTATTTTGGAAGGTCTTGAAAAAGTCTTGAAAAGGTATTGAAATTAACTTCATTATTCCTGCATATACCCTGAAACAGTTTTGTAGTTTTTGTCTTGAAAGGAGCAGCTGAACGTCCACATGGACACGGGACCTCCTGCAGATCAACCTGCAGCCAAGAAAACATGTCAGCAGGTGTGAATCACTGCATCTTATGGTTAATTCAAAAATAAATTATATCAACTACTTTAGAAAAGAGTCATTTATATTTGTATAAACTTACATGAAATCCAAGATGAACCATCAGAGAATGGCTCTTGATTAGGGACCCCCCCCCCCCCCCCCCCATGCTTATTCCTTATTTCCCTCAACAGTCTGATGATCAGTCTGAGAAGAGGTCCATGCATTTTGTCAGCCTGTTTTCTCCTCTTGGAAGCTGTAGGCTCTTCAGCGCTCCCTGGTTTTTCTGTAAACAGTTCCTGCAGCTCTGCAGTACGTTCATAAATTCCCTGCCTGGCTCAAGTATGAGGTCACTTCCTGGCTTTAACTAAACAAATGGACACAAGTACTTGAGTAAATACGTCTGCCTTCAGCATGTTGTGTAACCAATGTTCTGACTAGATCCAGATCCTTTAAACACTTATTAAAGAACTCAACTTCCTGTAAACTCACGGAGACTTCACACAGCACAGAAGTCTGAACCAAAATATTTCTTTTTACATGTTTAAATGTCAAAATGGTCCAGCGGCGAATCGACAGTTAATCTAACTAAACGTTAAACTTTGTTCGTTTTAAGGTTATGTATTGAAGCGTTCACACTCTGGAGTGGTGGTCTGTGTAAGTTATGAGCAGTAAACATCTAAACTGCAGTAGACGGCTTTTTGACCGGCTTCAGTTTGGAGAAGTCGTCAGAATCACCCGTTACTGATACAAGGAGCTGATTGGATGAAGGTGAATGTCACTCAGTCTGCGTCTCCTTGCAGTCAGTGACTGGTCGACTTGATGAACGTTTGATTCTACTGGATCTAAAGATTTGATCAAGGGGTCATTTGTGCAATTTGGTCGATTTCAAACAGAATTGTTCAGTTTATTTCTATAGCTCCAAGTCACAACAGAAGTCGTCTCAGGGCACTGAACAGAAACATTCATGTACATAAAAATAATCATTTAAAACCATTTATCTGAGGAGCAGACTGCTTTAAATTTAACTCCATCACAGACTCTCATCTTGAGCAAGCATGAAGGCGACAGTGGAAAGGAAAAACTCCCTCATGAGGAAGAAACCTTTAGCAGAACCAGGTTCAGGACAAGCGTCCATCTGCTTCAACTGGCTGGGTTTGAGAGGAACAGGAAGGAGGAACAGATACACAATGGCAGGTTAAGAATCACGTTAAGAAAGAAAGAAATGTATCAAATGAAAACTATTCAATTTTAACTATTCATTTAAGGAAATTAGGTCGAATTGTCCTTTAGTAGTCTAAGCTTAAGACAGCATAACAAGCTGACTCTAATTATGATTTATCATAAAGGAAAGTGTTGAGTTCAGTCTTATGAGTCCAGTCTTAAAACTGGACAACGTGTCAGCCTCACGGACAGAAACTGGAAGTTGTTTCCACAAGAGAGGAGCCTGAAAACTGAAAGATCTACTTCCCATTCTGCTTTTGGAAACTCTAGGAACCGCGAGTAAACCTGCAGTCTGAGAGTGAAGTGCTCTGTTAGGAAAATATGGAGCAATAAGAACGGTAATGGAGCTAGGTTGTTGAGGGCTTTGTAGGTCAAAAATAAGATTTTGAATTCTATTCTGGACTTGACAGGGAGCCAGTGGAGAGAAGCTAAAACTGGAGAGAGATGATCTCTCCCACTAACTCCAGTTAAGACTCTGGCAGCAGCATTTTGTATCAACTGAAGACTTTTTAAAGAGTATTTGGACACCCAGATAATAAACCATTGCAACAGTTCAGTCTAGATGTAACAAATGCATGAACCAGTTTTTCTGCATCATTTTTAGATAAGATGTTTCTAATTTTAGAGATATTACGCAGGTGGAAAGAGGAGGTTCTAGTAATGTTTTTAATGTGGTTCTAGCTTCCCGTGAAGCTGGTGGGCATGAGTAAACAATGATGCACACTGTTAATAGGCTCTGTGCACATGCGTCCTGAATCACTTCCCCTTTGACCG